GAAAGTATCTCTTCCTCCAGATGGAAGAGTAGAGTATTATCCATGTGCAAGGTCAAGCCCATCTCTTCCTGCTGGGTCTGCAACTGACAAGAAGTGTTGGGGCCAAAACCTCCCAACTCCATTTTAGTGAGGTTTTCTGTTGCTAATTTTCACAGTACTAAAAATGCACAACAGTCCCACAGTCTCAGGGCTTATAGTTCAGGAGGGGAAATACTAAAGAAAATCCATATCAGAGTCAATTTTATAAGGGCTCTTATACTAAGTGTTATGGTAAGCACAGAATTTCATGCAGTACAGAACAGGGCAAGCTTCCTAGAAGGTGTAATTCTTTCATTTGTCTTGACAATAAGCAGAGATCAGGCATGTGAATATGGAGAAAAAGTGTTCTAGGCAGAGCAAGTGGCATGTGCAAAAATACAGAAGCTCGAGAAGCCTGACACACTGAGAAAAGATAAAGTCACGTGATACAGCTAGAATGAAGGATGCAGACCGGTGGGTGGTAACTGATGGGGCTACAGAAGATAGCCAGGGTCTCATCATGAGAAATGTGTGTCCCATGCCAAGGAGTATACTCTTTACCCTGAAGGCAGTGAAGAAAGTGGGCAATATTGGGGTCAGGGAGTTTAACTGGGGGTCACTATTGACAATCAAAGCCAGAGATCTAGAGATACCAGCCTAATGGAGAGAGAGCAGAATGCAGTGAGGGTCTAATAAATGTGGTGGTTCCCCATGTTCATATGCATAAGAATCAGCAGGGGAGCACTTCTAAAATACAGATGTCTGGACCCAAACCAGACCTACTTGGACTTTATATTTTTTTCAAAGCTCCCCTGAATTCTTATAATGCAACTCGTCCCCTGAATGGCATTTGGGAACCACAAGTTTATCCCAAACTGTAGGACAAGAACATAAAAATAGTTTGTCTTACTCATTTCAAACAATGGAGCAGATAGATATAAGGTCCACCTGAAAGAGTAAAAATTTGGAATGATAGAATATTTTTAAAGAAATACAATTTTATTACTTCCAACTACTTATATTAACTAGCTATATGAACAAAATATTGATTGGTAGAGGTCAATATAATAATGCTTCACAATGAAAATGACTAATTAGTAAATTTTTGTAATTCACATTTGTAGTAAGGTAATCTATTTTTGCTATATAACCTTGCTCCCTCTAGTAGATTAAATATTACCCTTATAATCTTTCTCTTTTTTTTAAGATTTTATTCACTTATTTGACAGAGAGAGACACAGCGAGAGAGAGAACACAAGCAGGGGGAGTGGGAGATGGAGAAGCAAGCTTCCTGCCAAGCAGGGAGCCCGATGCAGGGCTCGATCCCATGACCCTGGCATCATGACCTGAGCGGAAGGCAGACGCCTAACAACTGAGCCACTCAGGCGCCCCACCCTTATAATCTTTCTTAAACTTAGATTAGTCTTTACAACCTTTTTATTTTTATAGAGTCAAAGATAAACTTCAATCCAACCTTTGATCAAAAGATCGTAAATTCTAAATCAGTGCTGTCTGAACTAACTTGATTTTGCTACATAGTCCTCTGATATTCAGGAAATTCTGTATTAGGAAAGCACTTTATCATATGATCATTTAGTTTAAACAGATAAATTGTAGCATATTCTGTCTGCTAGGAAATTCAGACTATCAGTATTTGTGCTTAAATGTATTTTTTTTAAAGATTTTATCTATTTATCTGACAGAGAGAGACACAGCGAGAGAGGGAACACAAGCAGAGGGAGTGGGAGGAGAAGCAGGCTTCCTGCTGAGCAGGGAGACCCGATGCGGGGCTCGATCCCAGGACTCTGGGTTCATGACCTGAGCTGAAGGCAGACGCTTAACGACTGAGCCACCCAGGAGCCCTTAAATGTATATTTTTACAGTTGGCTCCACACTGGGTATGGAGCCCAATGTGGGGCTTGAACTCAACACCCTGAGATCAAGACCTGAGCTAAAACCAAGAGTCAGGTAATTAAAAAAAAGAGTCAGACACTGAGCCACCCAGACACCCCTGGCACTGCTTATATTTTAAATTATGTATGTGAGTTACATTTATCTATTTTGAAAGCTGTGTCTTCCTCTTTTTGGCTTGTCATCTTATTCTGTCTCCACCTTTACATTCTAAAAGTCCAAGTGCATTTTTATTCAATGTAGTAATAAGCTCCCTAGAGATAGAAACTGTGTGTCCTGTTTGCATTCTTGTCCCTAACTCCAAGCTCAGGGCCTGGACAGGAGAGATGATTGATATGTATTTGTTTATTAATAAGTTTCATTCTCCCTTTATTACCCTCAGCAAACCCCAGTTTTACCCAGATTTATCTAAACACATGGACATCTGCTTCAGCCAACATAGGAAGAAATACATATAGAAATAAAGCTTTTTTTTAACAGCTGTATACCAATCAACCATAATTAAGATTATTACATGATCTTCAGGAAAGAAATTTGTGATGTCACCATCAATTATTGACAAACTACACCAGTACAACTCCCATAGGAGAGTCTTGCCCGGACTCTGAAATTACTATAGGAGCTCAGACATCAGAACCATCTTCTTCTCATCACTCCAAGTGCCCTTAAAAGTGACCTGACAGAGGAGCCAACCACATTTCAAAGCCACTTTATTGGTGCTTGAAAAAACTAACATGTTGGCTATAGTACAACAATCTTAGTTTAGCTATTCCAAATCTATGACTGGTTTAGTAAGATTAACCCTCATGACCTATAATCCTAGCAACAGAGGCAAACATGTGTTGAGCACTTATTTAAAGTAAGGCTTTGTGCTAAGCACTTTGTCTAGTCTCAGCCTGATAACAATTGCTCAATGTTGTAATTATTAATGAATCCCATTTTACAGGAGAAACTGAGAAAGTTGACTTAAGTGACTTGCCCATGGCTATAAAGCCATTAAGGGTGGTAGAATCAGGATATAAACCCCATCTGACACCAGGGCTCTCACGTTTAACTCTACTCTGTACTACTTATAAAATTACCTGGTCTTGAGAAAAAAAATTGGTATTTCTTTGCCTCATGAAATACAGTTGACCCTTGAACATCACAGGGGTTGGGGCTCTGAACCCCACACAGTTGAAAATCTATGTATAACTTTTAGCTCCCCCAGAACATAACTACAATAGCCTACTGTTGACCAGAAGCCCTACCGATAACATAAACAGTCGATTAACACATACCTTGTATGTTATGTGTATTATATACTGTATTCTTACACTAAAGCCAGATAGAGAAAAGAAATGTTATTAGAAAATCCTAAGTACTGTAAAACACCCAAGTATAAGTGGACCCACGCAGTTCAAACCCATGTTGTTTGAGGGTCAACTGTATTTCCAAGTTTGAGAATTTGGTTGGATAGGAAAGTCAGGCACTTAGTCTTACCAAGGACATTCTATTCGACCATGTTGAAACATCCAGAAATAGTTTACATATCAGTATGACTCTAGTATTATGCAATTTGAAGCTCCTGCCTTCCACATTCCTTCTATCTTTCTCATTCATTCACTCATCCATTCAATCATCCACGCCTACCATAGGCCAAGATGAGGCCTTTTGAACATGAACAGGAGCAATGCCTTTAACTTTCCTAGTCCAGAACCAAGGCTCCAATGATACTGTTGTTACAGTTTCAGGAGAATCCTTATAAACAAAGATTTATTTAGCAAGTATTCTACATACTGCTCTTAAATGACACAATCTGAGTACAAACATTGTTTTAGCTTTGGTACCTCATATTGGTACTAATAATCTTGAACTTAGGACATAGTGAGGCCCAATGCATGTAAAAAGCTTTGCTGATAAAAGAGGTGAGATCCCATGGTTTACTCCTTTTTAAGTCTTTGAGATCAGGGTCAGCCAACTTTCTAGGTGATTAGAGTTCAGTGTGGTGTTAACTGTGTGTAAGTGTTTGAATGCTAAGGGAGTTTGCGTTAGAATGTGAAGGGGTTTCCCTCTCATACACAAGGATACAATGACCCTGAACTCTGGATGAATAAATCATGGTATTTTAATTTTCAAACACTAGCCTCAAATTGCTTAGAAGCATTTATTGAGGACTTCTTGGGTGGCATTATTTTAACTTTCTTATGCAAGCCTCTTTGATAACCTGCTGATTTCAGTGTGCTTAGAGGAAATTATAAACTCAACCATATTATGAGCTACCTCCAGTTTTACCAAAGCATACTCACCAACATTTATATTCAAGTTTAAAATCTGATTGATACTAATGCTGTTCACTTTTATCACTTGAGGAAGGTTGACTTGCATAAAGCATAAAATGAAGGTAGGGCATTCAAATTAAGATGTGAAAACTACCTGCCCCCAGAAGTATTCATTTTTTTTAAAAGATTTTATTTATTTATTAGAGAGAGAGAGACAGAGCATGAGCATGAGCATGAGCACTGGGGGGAGGAGGCAGAAGGAGAAGCAGACTCCCCGCTGAGCAGGGAACCCGACAGGGCTCAATCCCAGGATCCTGAGATCATGACCTAAGCCAAATGTAGAGGCTAAACTGACTGAGCCACACAGGCGCCCCAGAACTATTCATTTTAATTGAAATTCTCCATTATGTTTTCTGACCAGTGCCCCAGAATTTATTGGTTCCTAAAGGAAGGTGGGTATAGTCTCCCCAGGGGGATTTTTGGAATGGGTCTAATTGTCACAATGGCTGGCATTAAATAGGTAGAGATCTGGGATGCTAAATATCCTGCAATGTGCCAAAAGGAAGATTGTACCCACTCCCATTCCCACCAATGGTAATAACCCCTCCAGGGAGCAACACTGGAGGGCCCTAACTGGGCCCTATCTCATGGGATGATGATGTTATACCCCATCACCCAGACACTGCCATCATTCTACAATAATGAAAGAGAATCACATCTCCCAAGGGTTAGATTTGGAAGAAGTGTAAAACATTAAGGGATTGTTATAAATGCAACATGATTATCATTCTTTTTTATTTGATTCTTCAGGAAAATGTTGAAGATGGCCAAGCAAGTATCTATCAATCTGTCATCACCAACACCAGCAAAGAAATGTCTTGTTTCAGTGACTTTCCAATGCCTGAAGACTTTCCAAACTTCCTGCACAATTCTAAGCTCCTGGAATATTTCAGAATTTTTGCCAGAAAGTTTGATCTTCTAAAATATATTCAGTTCCAGGTATTGTATTTTGGGGAGAATGGTTTTCTCTACATGGGTTCAGCTCACATTTAAATAGAGAAGTTACTCTGGTAATGAAAGAATTTGTGAATAAAACCAAGTGTTCCAATCCAATTCTTTCCTGGAAGATAAGAGCATGATAGAAGACCTAAAAGGTAGTGATATTAAAGACTATGTACACATTAACGAAGAGGAAAATGTTAAAACTAAGAGTTTGAATAATGATGATATTGATGAAACCGCAATTAAGCTAGTATCTATAACCACTGCAGACTCCTAGCCTCATTTCCCTTGAAAGGACAGAAGAAAAAAATCAAACTACTATTTCATTTTCTGATCTTCTCTGTAGAAATGGAATTTCTAAGAAAAAAATGTACTAAATAAGCTCACAGTTCTCCATTCATTTCATAAGCCTATAGAAACAATTTTTGGTATTTGGGGGTGGGGAGTGGGCATGGTGCATTCTCTAGCAACATAAGGATGGCAGGATCATTTTGAAATATAATTATAACTACCTTTCCTGTGTTACCTCAAAAACAAATAATCAACAAGAAAACAATATTCTCACTAAATATGCTGAATTTTTATTAAAACCTACACTCTGAAAACTAGTAACTGTGCTTAGTAAATAAAATTAAATTATATCTCTGAATAAATGTTAGCAAGCTAAAATTTTTTATTTTTTTTTTAATTTAAATTCAATTTAGTTCAGGGGTAGAATTTAGTGATTCATCAGTTGCATATAACATCCAGTGCTCATTACATCAAGTGCCCTCCTTAATTCCCATCACCCAATTACCCCATGTCCCCACCTACCTCCCCTCCAGCAACTCTGTTTGTTCCCTATGGTTAAAAGTATCTTATGGTTTGTCTCCCTGTCTGTTTTTATCTTATTTTATTTTTCCTTCCCTTCCTCGATGTTCATCGGTTTTGTTTCTTAAATTCCACATATGAATGAAATCATATGGTATTTTTCTTTCTCTGCCTGATTTATTTCACTTAGCATAATATGCTCTAGTTCCATCCACATCACTGCAAGTGGCAAGATTTCATTCTTTTTTGATGGCTGAGTAATATTCCATTGTATGTACATAACTACATCTTCTTTATCCTTTCATCTGTCAATGGACATCTGGGCTCTTTCCACAGTTTGGCTATTGTGGACATTGCTGCTATAAACATTGGGGTGAATGTGCCACTTCAAATCACTATATTTGTATCCTTTGGGTAAATACCTAGTAGTGCAATTGCTGGGTCATAGGGTAGTTCTATTTTTAACTTTTTGAGGAACCTCCATACTGTTTTCCAGAGTGGCTGCACCAGCTTGCATTTCCACCAACAGTGTAAGAGGGTTCCCCTTTCTGCACCTCCTCACTAACATTTGTTGTTTCTTGAGTTGTTAATTTTATCCGTTCTGACCCCTGTGAGGTGGTATCTCACTGTGGTTTTGATTTTTATTTCCCCAATACCGAGTGATGTTGAGCATTTTTTTCATGTGTCTGTTAGCCATTTGTGTGTCTTCTTAGAGAAATGTCTGTTCATGTCTTCTGACCATTTCTTGACTGGAGTTTTTGGGTTCGGGGTGTTGAGTTTGGTAAGTTCTTTATTGATTTTGGATACTAGCCCTTTATCTGATGTGTCATTTGCGAATATCTTCTCCCATTCTATTGGTTGCCTTTTAGTTTTGTTGATTATTTCCTTTGCTGTATAAAAGCTTTTTATCCTGATGAAGTCCTAATAGTTCATTTTTGCTTTTGTTTCCCTTGCCTCTGGAGATGTGTCTAGCAAGAAGTTGCTGTGGCCAAGGTCAATGAGGTTGCTGTCTGTGTTCTCCTCTAGGATTTTGATGGATTGCTATCTCACATTTAGGTCTTTCAGTGAACTAATTTTTTTGTAACACTTCTCATTTTCTCAGTAATTTCAGCTTTGTTCCAGGTTTGTATTATATTAATTTATAATAGCTGATTGTGGTGGAAATCTATATTTTTAAATGCCATTAAAATGTATCTAATGTACTACATTAGAAAACTATTACCCATCTCCTGGTGGATCCATCTTATGAATAACAGATCTTTTTATACCAGAAGCTTTTATAGGTCTTTGTCCATTCGATTATCAATTTATTTAACAGATATACTGCCCTCTTATGGTATGTACTTTTTATTATCTGTTCTTTGAAAGATCAGGTTAAAGTTGTAAGAGAGCTATTTCTCTTATTTATTGTATTACTGCTGTTCAGTTTCCTGGAGGTTAGAGAGGGGTTAGGGACACTCATTTCCATTATTGGTCTCTGAGTTGGTATAAGCCATAAGATGTTAGGCTGTAAAAGGTTCTGTTGCATTTCTAATAAACTCCTGAGTGAATACTGAAGGTGATGGTTTCAAACCATATTTTGAATAGCAGTAATCCACAGTACTTTAGCTAATCTACTACCCTAAACTGCAAATCTGAAATCTTTAATCTCAGCCAAAATTGCCCAGACATTTTATAGTCCTTTGCAAGCTTTATGTTAATGGTCTGTATTTATTTTTTTAATTGAAACAACTTCAAAAATTGCCAAACCAGCATTTTTTTAAATATCTGAAAATTTGAAAAGCATATATATGGGACTCAAATACTTATAAGCAAGAGAAACATGCCATTACTCTAGAAGTGAGAAAAACTTTGCTTCCACTTGACATTGTTTCTTAAACATCAAAGATGTAAAACATTTATGGATACTTTTAAAAATTCATAGCCCTCCAGACAGTGAGCTACATAAAAAAAAATTAATAAATATAAATTATTTCATCCAAATGAGATCATGAACTATATTGCTAAGATGATGTACTCTGAAAAATAATAATATGAACACCTACCATTCATAGGATGCTGACAATGTGCCAGACACGATGCAAAGTGCTTCACATGAAATATCTTCTCTAATACAGAGTCTGCACAGAAGTGGACACATAAAAGATTCTTAATAAATACTGACTGTGTGATCATTTGAATGATGGACATGTGCTCTATATCTTGCCCAGGTTTTGTGTTTCTTTTATGTCTCTCTCTTGAGTCCTTATTCAGTCTTTAACAGACTGGTTCCCATGGCTGAGTCTTGCACAAAGTACCATATCCTTGGTAGCTCCCCACCAAAGAAGAATGAGAGGGGACACTTAGCAGTCTTTGCTCTAAGCGGTTTGAACTGGATTCATATGGAACCCAAATGGAGTCACACCTTGCATTCTACCCATTCCCACTCCCAGGGTACTGTGTGAAGCCCCTGTTATGCCAGAGTAATGTTCAGTTATGCCTTCTCTGTGTTTGTTCAAGACAACTGTCCTCAGTGTGAAAAAACACACGGATTTCTCATCTTCTGGCCAATGGGAGGTTGTTACCGAGAGCAACAGCAAGAAGCAAAGTGCTGTGTTTGACGCAGTTATGGTTTGCAGTGGCCATCACATCCTCCCTCACATCCCACTGGAGTCATTTCCAGGTGAGGCCTGTGGAGATTCCCAGCTTTACAGAGAGGGTGTTGTTGGGAAGGAAAAAATTTCTCTTACCTTTCAACATTCTTTGGGCTTAGTCTAAGAATTAAATTGACATGAGACAAATTAATAAGAAAAAAATAAAATGCAATCATGCATTCTTATGGAGAGATTCTCAGCCAGGTGTGAGATCTTCTACCCTAAAGCATTGATTCTCAAAAAGAATTACCTGAAGGGCTTTTAAAAACAACTTGCAAGCCTCCACCTCTGGCGTTTCCAACTCAGTAGATACGGTATCATGAAGCTGAGATTTTGCCTTTCCAACAAGTTCCCAGGTTCCAGCTAAAAATGCTGATCAAAGGACCACACTTTGAAAATTAATGATCTAAAGTTTCTTTCAAGAAACCCACCATCAAAGACAATTATTTAATAAAGTCATATTTTCCTGGGAAAGATACAGAGAAGCTTGTCTTCAAAATGGCTTATCCAGTAAGTTACTGACTTATACTGCAATGTGGAAGACATCCTTCAATTTCTATGTGCCTGGTTTTCAGTTTATTTTAGTTTTTGTTTGCTTCTACAAAATGAGAATAAATATTATTCTAATATAATTAGAATTATATTAGTACAATTGTACAAGTACAATAATAGCACTTCATAATATGTTCAAAAACATTTAAAAGAATACATGTGCTATATGATATTAAAGTATTACTGTACAGTCCAAAATAAGATAATGGGTAGTTGGAAGCTAGCATCTGACTGCTTTATTCATCAAAACCATTTGTTTAATCTCTAATAAATACATAAGCTGCAACGTCTGAAATCAATTATTTTGGTCCTGTTCCATATGCATAAGCTAATATTTCTCATATACTTTATGCTTTGAGTTTGCCAATTGACCTTACCATTGTAACTCCCCTAAGAGGTGAGGAGGCAAAACAAATAATTGACTCCAGAAAAGAAAATCTGACAGTGTACTCTTATTGAAATTGACATAATTCATGGACTTCTCTCTTCTTCCCCCTGAAGGTATTGAGAGGTTCAAAGGCCAGTATTTCCATAGCCGCCAATACAAGCACCCAGAGGGACTTGAAGGGAAACATATCCTGGTGATTGGACTAGGAAACTCGGCCTCAGATATTGCCGTTGAGCTGAGTAAGAAGGCTGCTCAGGTATGATGCTCTCTGCTTCTCTTGTACCATGGAGGAAGGAGGAAGGGCATATTGGAAAATCCCAGCCACATAACCAAGGCTCCATTACTCATTAATTGGTTGGTTGGTTGGTTGGTTGGTTGGTTGGTTGGTTGGTTACTACAGTAAGGTATCATAAAAAATCTGGAAATCAGGAAGCCAAGGTTTACCTCCCAGCCCTGCACTGATCAACATGTAATCCAGAGCAAGTCTTTTACTTCTCTGAGCTATACATGTGATATATCATCTACACAGTAGATTCCTCCCAAAAGGGACAATGCCCTGATTTAAACAGCATTCTTTTTGCTTACCAGGTATTTATCAGCACCAGACATGGTTCCTGGGTCATGGGCCGTATCTCTGAAGATGGCTATCCCTGGGACATAGTGTTCCAAACCCGGTTTAGGTCCATGCTCCAAAATGTCCTGCCACAAACAATTCAAAAATGGATGATTGAACGGCAGATGAATCAGCGGTTCAACCATGAAAATTATGGCCTTGAGCCTCAAAACAAGTAGAGTTATTTTGCTTTTTTTATGGTATGGTAAACAAGGTTGTCAGAGGCTCCTCTTTATAGTCAAATTGCTAATGAGATATTTCAAACTACAACCTAACAGTATGAGTATCATAGACATCCTGGAAATTGAATTCCAAATTTGTTCTGTATACCTTTTAAAAAGTAAATGCTTAAGAAGATGAAGTAGAAATATTATGAATTTTTTATGGCTGAGTACAATTCCATTGTGTATATACACCACATCTTTTGTATCCACTCATCTACAATGGACAATTAGGTTGCGTCCATATTTTGGCTATTGTAAATAATGCCGCAACGAACATGGGGGTGCATATGTCTTTTCAAATTAGTGTTTTCATTTTCTTTGGGTAAATACCCAGTAGTGGAACTACTGGGTCATATAAATTCTATTTTTAATTTTTTGAGGAACCTGCCCACTGTTTCCCACAGTGGCTGCACCAATTTGCATTCCCACCAACAGAGCATTAGGGTTCCTTTTTCTCCACATTCTTACCAACAATTGTTATTTCTTGTGTTTTTGGTTTTAGCCATTCTGACGGGTATAAAATGGTATCTTATTGTGGTTTTAATTTGTCTTTCCCTGATGATTAGTGATGTTAAGTTTATTTTCATGTGTCTATTGGCTATCTTTAAGTCTTCTTTGGAAAAACACCTATTCAGTCTTCTGCCCATTTTTAATTGGATTACTCAGCCATAAAAAGAATGAAATCCTGCCATTTGCAACAACACAGATGGACCTAGAGGGTATAATGCTAGGTGAAATAACTCAGTCAGAAAAAGACAAATGCCATATGATTTGACTCATGTGTGGAACTTAAGACACAAAAGAAACAAAAAACTGGACTCTTGAATACAGAGAACGGTTGCCAGAGAGGAGATGGGGGGGGGGGCAGAGGGACGGATGAAATAGACAAAAGGAATTAAGAGTACACTTACCTTAGATGAGCACTGAGAAATGTATAGAATTCTTGAATCATTATATTGTATGTCTGAAACTCATATAACACTGTATATTAATTATACATGAATAAAAAATAAATTTAGGGCGCCTGGGTGGCTCAGTTGGTTAAGCAACTGCCTTCGGCTCAGGTCATGATCCTGGAGTCCCAGGATCGAGTCCCGCATCAGGCTCCCTGCTCAGCAGGGAGTCTGCTTCTCCCTCTGACCGCCCCCCCATGTGCTCACGCTCTCTCTCAAATAAATAAATAAAATCTTTTTAAAAATAAATAAATAAATAAATAAATATTCCTTAATAAAGCTTTCAAAACTATTGGGGATTTAACAAAATTTTCCTTTCTTACTTATGATCAGATAGAGATTAATTGGAGCAGCAAGATAATTAAAACAATAGTGGAAACATCGATGGGGTATAAATGACTGGAATATTCAGGGATTGACCATAGGCACTGGTATTTGTTTAACCTCCTTTTTTGAAATGTCTTTTACCACATCACCTACAAGTTTTCTCTTCTTTGTTGAGGGGGAGATTTGTGACATGAGAATGAAGTCAGATAGTGCGGTTTGGGGTAGGCCAACTAGTTAAGATAGAAAGTTTTATGGATATTTGAGAAACCTCTTTATTTGAAAAGCCAACCCCATAAAATATCAAGAGAGTTTCAAGACTCACTTAACATCATTAAATATTCCTTCTAAGTGTTTTCTTTTTGGTGTTTTAGATATCTTATGAAAGAACCTGTGGTAAATGATGATCTTCCAAGTTGTATACTCTACGGAGCCATCAAGGTGAAACCGAGAGTGGAAAAGCTCATAGAAACTTCTGCCATCTTTGAAGATGGAACAGTGGAGGAGAATATTGATGTTATTATCTTTGCAACAGGATATACTTTCTCTTTTCCATTCCTTGAAGATCCACTTGTTAAAGTAGAGGATAAGATGGTCTCACTGTATAAATACATATTCCCTCCTCACCTGGAGAAGTCAACTCTGGCGTGCATTGGTCTCATCCAGCCCCTAGGTTCCATTTTCCCAACTGCCGAACTTCAAGCTTTCACCCTGGGCAACCAGGGTTTTCAAAGGTATGTGAGTGGGAAAGTGAGGGGCTGAGGGCTTTATACCTGATGGAGTTTGTTCAATAACAAGTTTAGATAAGGAGGCTGCCAGGAAGAAGTTGGTCAACCTTAGGCAGCTCTCACAAGATTAACATCCTAAAAAGTTAGTGGAGAATTTGAAAAATAACAAATACAGAGATAAGATAATAATAATAATAAAGAGCTGTAATCATCCCTTTGAAATATTAGAAAGTTCAGAGAATTTCAATTTCATAAAGCTAAATACATATTATCTTTTCCTGGAATCATGAAAAAATAGTTGAGAAGAGAAAGATCTCTGACTCCTGGTTTTACCTATATGATGTTTATAATTTCCTCTGAATATGTACAAATCTAGAGACCCAAGGCCTCTACATTAACTTCAAATTAACTCTTAATATGTTAAGAAGCTCAATCTCATGGATCCTTACAAAGTTATAAAGTTATTGAAAGGTTTCTGTCTAAGTATCTGTATAGCACTTTGCATTCCTCAGGAGGCTATTATCTCCCTGATGCCATGGTTCCATTCAGCTCAACCAGAACTCATTGAATACCTACCTTTGTTCTGGAACCTGGTGGGATAGAGAGCAATTTAAACAGATCATTTCCACATACCAAGATAAATGCTTTGGTAGAGGGATGCATGGAGTGCATGGGAAGAAGAAAAGGGGTGCTTTGCAGCATGTTGGGATAAAGGAGGGCATGCGGCCAAGGAAAACTTGCTAGATGACCAAGTTTCTCAGGTGCAGAAGAGGTAATCACTTGAGCCAAACACAGAGGCATGATGGATATGGAGAATTACAAGCTATCTGACATTCCCAGAACATGACATGTGAGGTAGAGAGGGGTGAGAGATTATTAAAGAGTAATCTTTCAGTAGAAGGGCCAGGCCACAGGAGCCTTGTAAGGCATGCTAAAAGGCTTACAATACAAAATGTAGATCAGTTCTTTCCAAATCTGGCCACACATAAAAATCATCTGGATCCTTAGGGACCCTGATTAAGTCTGACCTGAGGACCTAGAATCTCCATTTTAGAAAGCTCTTCAGGGGTGCCTGGGTGGCTCAGTCGTTGGGCGTCTGCCTTCAGCTCAGGTCATGATCCCAGAGTCCTGGGTTTGAGCCCCACATCAGGCTCCCTGCTCGGCGGGGAGTCTGCTTCTCCCTCTGACCCTCCTCCCTCTTGTGCTGTCTCTCATTCTCTCTCTCTCTCTCAAATAAATGTTCCCTCTTTTGCTGTGTCTCTCTCTGTCAAATAAATAAATAAAATCTTCAAAAAAAAAAAAAGAAAGAAAGAAAGCTCTTCAGGCAGAGGACCCAATGAAAGGTTATAAGAAAGAAATAGACATTACAGATTTACATTTTCAATAGATTATTTCACCATTAGTGTGGAAGATAGATTTGAAAACAGAAAAAAATGGGGACTCTGAGACCAGTGAGAAGGCCACAGCAAGTCTCTGCTGAAACATGATGTAGCTGAGCCAGGCAGAGAGACAAAGTGGAGAACACAATAGAAATGTGAGAAATAGTTAGGGATAAAATCCACAGGACATGATGATCAGCTGAATGTAGAAAATCAGAGAGAGAGAGGAATCACAGATGACTTGCAGATCTCTGGCCATGGGAACTGGGTAGACAGCAGGGCCAGGAATAGAGAGAGGACATGGAAGAAGATGCAAGTCTGACCAGGAGAGCTTCCGTGATGGGCTCTGTTTTGGACTCATTGACTCTGGTATGTCTGATGACTAGCTATATCCAGGAGAAACTGACCATTTCACCATGTCTGAGAACACCCATAGACAAGGATGGAATCAGAAGCACACAGTGATAAATCCTGCGTCAATCTACCTTCTCTGTCCCCACTGATTAACTTTACTCCCACAGGTTTACTTCAACAGCCTCTCAACTGGTCTTGGTACCTTTAGACTCACTTTCCTAGAGCCCATGTCCCGAAATTCGCCAACTAGAAGGATCTTTCTAAAAGGCAAATCTGATCTTGTCACCACTTGCAGAAAACCCTCCCATGGCTTCCCATCACCTTCAAAATAGAGCTCAAGTCACCTGACATGATTTCCAGCTCTTCAGGCTCACCTTCCTACTCCAGCCTCTCTCTTACACCCTCCACTTCAGAGTTCACACTGTAACCTTAAGGGCAGCATCACATAGAACTCATCCCACCCTGGAGTTCAACAAAACAGCAGCCCTGATTGGCATAACTTGGGTAAATGGCCAAGTTTAATGGTAGGAATCAACTACTAGATAAAGCAATGATATTGAATCAAACCCACTACTCAAACCAGGCTTTTATTTCTAGGCTTGTGTACCTTGCCCTCAGAGAGGACTATGATGGCGGACATTATCAAGAGGAATGAAGAAAGAATAGATCTGTAAGATTTTTTTTTTAATTCTGTACATAAAGCAATGTTTCTCAGGGTATAGTGACCTAACTACCCACAAGAACCACCTGCCTGTTTCTTAAAAATGCAAATTCCTGGGTCACAACCCAGACCAACTGAATTGGAACCCCAAGATGAAACTGGAAATTTGTATTTTTATGTTCTCCCTAGGTGATTCTTATACATACTAGTTTAAGAACCAACTACATGGGGCACCTGGGTGGCTCAGTTGGTTAAGCATCTGCCTTCAGCTCAGGTCGTGATCCCCATGTCGGGCTCCCTGCTCAGCGGGGAGATTGCTTCTCCTTCTTCCTGTACCCCTCCCCTTGCTCCTGCTTTCTCTCACTTTCTCTCTCAAATAAATAAATAAAATCTTTAAGACAAAAAAGAACTAACTACATAAAGATAGAAATTTTACCAAATCAGGACATTTTTCCTGGACTTAATTTTATTTCAGTTTTGTATGATGTCCGTGTTAGATTCCATATCTTCTCAGGCTGCCCACTCTGTGGTGAGAGAGGAAATGGGTTGGGAGCAGCAGTAGTGACAGTGGCCAGGTGTCTCTAAAAAGTTAGTTGGGGGATGTCCTATCAAAGGAAATTAGAAGGAGCTGGTATGAAGTGAAAGTAGATGTATGCTTTGTGATATGGTAAAATGGGGTTTAAAAGTGATCAAGCACCTTGGAGAGTAGACTTGGGGGCCTGACATCACATGTAGGGGTTGTCTCATGGTCAAATTCTAATTAATCTAACATTTGTTGAGTACCTATTATATGCCAGCCAGAGTGCCAACTACTTTAATAATTTAACAAGCAAATAGTAAGCATCTCCTCTATGCAAGACACTGGGCTAGGCTTTCATCTGTGTTAGCTCATGAATCTTTGCAGCAATCCTAATTTGTATTTGCCTAGAGAATTGAAGCCACTTACTAAATATCAAATAATAATAATGGTTATAAACCTTGTCACATTCCTAAAACTTCCATGAATTCATGGCTATTTATTTTACAGCCTACTCTCAATCTAAGATCTGGGCCTTCTGATGGGATATGCTCATACCTTCCACCAGAGATTCATTCAAACCTCATTTACTCACTCACTCATCCCTATTTTGCAAATCTGCCCTTTTTTACTTTCTTCATTAAGGTTTGGAAAGAGCCAGAGCCAGACGCTGCAGACCAATTACATCGACTACTTGGACGAGCTCGCCTTAGAGATAGGTGCAAAGCCAGACATCCTGTCTCTCTTGCTGAAAGACCCCAAACTGGCTGTGAAGCTCTATTTCGGACCCTGCAACCCCTTCCAGTACCGCCTCACTGGGCCCAGGCAGTGGAAGGGAGCCAAGAGGGCCATCCTCACCCAGAAACAATGGATACTGAAGCCTTTAAAGACACGGGCACTAAAAGCTTCATCTGATTTCCCAGTTTCCTTTCTGTTGAAAATCGTGGGGCTTCTTGCTATTGTTGTGGTCCTTTTTTTTCAGCTTCAGTGGTTCTAATTGGTCAGCATAAAGCTTTTGATTTTAGTGTCAGTCAGTTCCTCTTAAAAAAAAAGGCAAAGAAAAAATATGAAATCTAGATTCTATATTTCAGAGTTGAGAGGAACAGAAAGAGGTGGTTGTAGAGAATTAGCAGAATTAGGTCCATGTTAAAACACTAAAATGGTGTTATGAAATTTGTTTGCCACCCTACCCTTCCCTCAAGTTCATCAGACTCTCCAAAAGGACAATTAAATAGCACTGGCTAAATAGTGCTGCCAGGCCCCATATAAGAGGGTTGTGTGGAAAAAATAGAAATACGTAGAATGAAAAGCAAGCCCCATGGTTTAAAACATTAGAAAATTTCAATGGTGGGTAAATATTTAAACTCTTGCATGATGTTCTTGATAGTCTTCCCTACCCGGACTGCATTTGGTAACAAAGTTCTCAGGTGTTAGGTCATGCTCCATTTGCTTATCAGGGAATCACTCAAAAATCCTGGATGAAAATATGAGAGGCTAGACTCAGAAAGAGATGGCGATGATAAGACAGACTCCTTGGGCCTCATGGTGAAAGCAAAGCCAATAGGCACATTTGTTATGTTTTGACAGAAACACTGCTGTAAAAATAAAAATAAACCTGCAGTAACAGCTATATACACATTCAGTACTTTCCATAGACCAGACATTGTGCTCAGTGCACATTGTATGTATTAACTTCATTTAAATCTCACAATAATCCTGTGAGATGGATGAGGCTATTCTACCCATTTTATAGATGATGAAACTGAGACTCAGAGCAGTTGGGTAACATGTCCAAGACCATACAGCTGGTCTTGCTGGGCAGCCAGGATTGGAACCCAGTTTTGCTTGATTCTGGAACTGTGGATCATAAACTTTCCCCAGAATATACTTATTTACAAAACCGCTATTGCAGATAAAGTAATTAATTATTAACAGTTTATTTTATTTATAATTATATATATGTTGCTTTTGGAGGAACTTAACACAGATGACAGCACACTTCTTGCAAATATGATCAATTAATTTTATTCATAATATTTTGGTTTATAGTCCAACCAGATCTAAAAAGCATTTGAAGGAATTTACAATGAAACACACCTATAGAAGAACATTTAAGATGATCATTGACATTCTGAAAAAACAAGCATTGAGGATGAAGTATATGTCCCAAGTAGATGAAAAGCATTATAATGATTGAGCCTTGTATTTAGCTCTAACCTTATAGGTAAACAAGGCAAAAAGTGAAACAATATATAATCTCTGTCATTTGATAAAAGGAAGCATACCAGTTTGTTAGACACATTTTCTTGGAACTGAAATTTAAAAAAGATACAAGCAATTCAATGTCAATAGACATTGAGCAACAGAATAAACATCTGGTTTATCAACCCACTACAGCCATTCTTTCCATGAACTGTGATTTGGGAGATAAGCTATGCCCTAAACCCAGCCCAAGGACTTTTGAAGAGGGAAAAGGTCAGGAATTAAAGATTTAGGCAAATTTCTCCTCTTACTCTTCCAAAGTCTGTGCAGACATTGTTCTTTACTTTGGCCTGGATTTGTCTCACGTGCCCAGAGCAATGTAATGGCAATCTCTGTCAGTGGAAGCTTTATTTCTTTAAAGTCCATTGAAATGGACTTGCTTCATTCATCATTACCACTACCCAGGGAAGTAACTATGGTCATTATCCTACTCCTACAGTGGACTAGATTGGGAAACAAGTGTCGGGTTGGTACCGAAATCAGTGGGGAAAAATAGCTCCATTAGGACAAAATTATTATTATATGTATAACCTTGAAATTTTTAGAAAGAGCTTAATCTCTTGAAAGCTTTCCAAATATTGTGTTATCTTTTTAAAAACATAAACAGTTCATTTCCAGAGTCTGAATGACTAAGAAAGACTCATCCAAGTTTATTCTTCTGCCTCTATACACCAGGAAACAGGAAACTATCCCAGACAAACCAACTAGGATAGTTTGTTCCAAACTACGACCCACAGACTACCTGCATCAGAATATCTCAGGGAGCTTATAGAAGTGCAGATTCTTAAATACAAATGCAGTAATAATTCAGACCTGCTGAATGAGAGTCTCCCCTGGAATCTCCAGTCTTGACAAGCTCCCTAAAAGATTCCTGTTCACATTAAATTTAAAAACCATTGGTTTGAGGTATCGCCAAAAAAGCTGCTTTTGCTTTTGCTTATCAGGGAATCACTCAAAAATCCTGGATGAAAATATGAGAGGCTAGACTCAGAAAGCGATGGCGATGATCAGACAGACTCCTTGGGCCTCATGGTGAAAGCAAAGCCAATAGGCACATTTGTTATGTTTTGGATCATATGTCATGGATCAATCCATGACTTTTTCCACTCCTCAGGGCCAAATTCCCCCTTCGGTTCAGTCTTGGTGCTTCTAGTTGCAATTTACAATGTTCTTCTCCTGTAAAGAATGTTAACTTGTTATCACCGTCCTCCCAAATCTTTCCCTGTGATGTTCCCTTTACTAAACTTTCATTTTAACTACCCTTCTCTCTGTGATAGCTACTCAGTTTTTCTTACCAAAAGGCAAATATGTCCCATTTGCTCATTGCAGAAAAATTAAGATATTTTAAAAATAAAACTCTTGGACTGTGACATGTAACAAAATTTCTAATAATAAAGATTTCAATAGCTTAACCCACAAAGAATCCAATGTTCATATTACAGTAAGGATGGCAAAGGAAGATCCTTCCTTATAACTAGTCCTTCATCCTGGAAGATGCTGCTACACCAGTACAACCCCCAATGCAGAGCTGTTGGCCATTTTCTGGAGGCGGACTGTGTTTACACAGAACATAACTCACTTTCTTGTCTGGTCTGCCTTATGACCAGATTATGGATCAATGAAGCTTAAAAAGGGGGGGGGTGCGCCTGGGTGGCTCAGTCATTAAGCATCTGCCTTCAGCTCAGGTCATGATCCCAGAGTCCTGGGATCGAGCCCCACATCGGGCTCCTTGCTCTGCGGGAAGCCTGCTTCTCCCTCTCCCACTCCCCCTGCTTGTGTTCCCTCTCTCGCTGTCTCTCTCTCTGTCAAATAAATACATAAAATTTTTAAAAAAAGAAAAAGAAAAAAGAAAAAAGTCTCCTGGGATTAGATTCTTGTAATCCAGGTCAGAAGCCAAAATGAGATTGAACATGCAAGGCTTTATTAAGGAAAATGCCTGTATGAGGGGGAAAATAGGGAAAGTGCAGGAAGTGGCTGGAAGAGTCATCAGAGAGTCTGCCTCTGAATGAAGGAAAGACAAAAGAAGGTTTGGGTAGAAACATCCTGGACTGCTGTGCAGTCCAAGCAAGGAAGATGCAGCAGAGCCCCTGGGGAGTCCTCAAGCCATCAAAGAATCCTGACTCTCCCAGGTGTCTGGCTCCTGGCTCGCCCCAACTCCTGGGAAGAGGGCCTGGGCACAAGCGCAACAATGTATCTCACACACAACAGCTAAAGCCCTTGGTCAATTACACAACCTGTGCTTAGAGATCCATGAAGCACATTCTCAGGCTCATAATGTCATTTTTTGTATTTTTTAACCAATTGAATTACAAGCTTTAAATTAATTTGCCTACTTAGTCATTTGTTGTTTCCACAGCTAACTCTAAGACATCGGTGTGCCTTCCGCCTAATCCAAAGCTTCCAGTTCCCTAGAAGCCGAGACCTGAAGGTGTTTGTGAGGGCACCAGCAAAGAGGTGCTGTAAGGTCTTCCTTTCTGGCTCCTTTTCTCAGAAACCTTCAGCAGCAACTCATCACCTCCTTTGTCATTCAAGATTTTCTACAATAGCTGTAACCTACCTTTCCAGCCCTACCTCCTGCCGTTTTGCCCCCATACCTGCCACCACCTAACCCTGCCTCACCATTCTAAAAAGTGCTGCACTTAGGCTTGCTTCATGCTATCCATTATGGCCTCCCAGCCCCCAGTAGTTGAGATTCCTGCAACACTAGGTGAGAGGGTATTCTCCTCAAGCTTTCCTCGGTCCCTCCAGCCAAAAGACCCCTCCTCCACCTCTCTATTACAAAACTATTTTGTTTTCATTCTGCAATAATGTTTACACTCTTGCCCTTTTGCTGGCACTAATGGCAAAAATGACAATTTTATGCCTAGGAGCCACCAAATCCAACTTCTGGAAAATAGAGAGCTTAAGACACTTTATCACTCTTCAGGGTTATGCAATAATAGGATTTATACTTTGGAACCAAAGGGTCACTCCAAGTCCCTAGGTCATTTTAAGGATGGAGGGGATAAACAGAATGCTCTCAGATAAGAAAACTGGGCATTGTTTAGAGCCACATAGCAAGTCATGCCCCTGATGTTCCTTCCACTAACAGCTCGAACATACCACGGTAAAGATTGGTTGCTTCACCCTTGTCAATGGGTATCTAAAACTTGTATTTTTACACCTAACTGTCCATCTATACATGTCACATATTCTGGGAGAGGGATTTTAATTGCAACTATTAAAAACAGTTTTATTCTTAGACATTGCTGTACCTTGTGCTGCTGGGCAGTAGAAAGTAATTGATGTCAATTTCTCTTGGTGTTGAACTACTTCTAAAAACCTAAGTAACCTGGATAAAATAATAAAAAGCCATCACTTACTCATCATTTATTATGTTGTAGGTGCTATAATGAAATCAGTTTTATTTCTTTAATCTTCAAACTCATTTTATGCATCAGGAGATGGAGACTCACAGTAGTTAAATGACCTTCCCAAGTTATGTGGTCTGTAAGTGGGTCCAGCTGGGTTTTCCTGTCACCACTGCCTCTGCAGTTTATGCTATCTGACAGTGTACCAGATAATGAATCAGGGCGGGGGGAGGGGGGAAGTAATTTATTATTTGTTTTTCAGTATCTGTCTTATATCCAAGATAAAATTTTAATTTCAATCAATTTTGTTCCCTCTCTACACACCAAAAATAGAACTGATTCCCAGAAATACTAAAAACTACAAATTGTCAAATAAGATTCACAAATGCTTGTAATACATCTAATAAAATGATATAAAAGTGTATTAATGTCTAC